TGCGGCTGACATCCGGGAAGCCGAGGCAGCAGAGAAACCGAGTGATTTACAGAAAATGCTCGCCGACGTACCGGATGACTTGGCAACGCTATTGAAGCAGTACAGCGGGATATTTCCTGATGACCTACCGGAGGGATTGCCACCGCAGCGACCGCACGACCACAGGATAGAACTAGAACGGGGGGCACAGCCGACAGTACAGTGACAGTTCCGACTGACCCAACCCGAACTGGACGAACTTCGGAAGCAGCTGGATTACCTGATCAAGAAAAACGTTCATTCGCCCGAGTTCGTCACCCTTCGCCGCACCGATACTGTTCACACCGAAAAAATACGGGGGATTTCGCAAGTGCATAGATTACCACGCACTGAACCGAGTTACCATCAAGTCCCGTTACCCCATCCCGCGAGCCGACAAACTGATCGGCCAACTTCGCACAGCCCGAGTTTTCTCGAAAATTGACCTTCGAGGAGGATACCACCAGATCCGCGTCAATCTGCCCGACTACCCAAAAACCGCCTTCCGAACCCGCTACGGATCATTCGAATACACGGTAATGCCCTTCGGACTGACCAACGCCCCCGTAACCTTTCAAATGACAATGAATGAAGCCTTCCGCCCGCTTTTAGATAAGTGCGTAATCGTCTACTTAGACGACATACTGATCTACAGCCCAGACACAACACAGCACCTACAGGACATCGAAACTGTTTTTAAAATACTGAGTGAGAACCGCCTACTGACCAAAGCCTCTAAGTGTGAGTTTCTACAGGACAGACTGGAATTTTTGGGGCACGTGATTTCAGCCAACGGAGTGGAAATAGATCCGAAAAAGATCGCGTGATCCAAGCATGGCACGCGCCAACCAACTTGACTGAGTTGCAGAGTTTTCTGGGGTTCGTCAACTACGTGCGACGGTTCGTCCCCGACATGGCGAAGTTGACTGCACCGTTGACCGACCTGCTGGGGAAGGGGGTTGAGTATACGTGGGGGGAGAAAGAGCAAGCTGCCTTCTCGGCCCTCAAACATATTTTGTGCTCACCGCCCGTGCTGTCAAACATATTTGCTGCTTATTGTGTAGGCAGTAGTGGGGTAGCCCATATGGGGTACAACCCAATTAGGGTTTCCTACTTGTACCCATCCTGCTGGTAGTTCATTCATTCCTGTTCGTTATTCTGACATGGTTTCAGAGCAGGTCCTAGCCTAGGACCGATCTCTTAGGGCCCACCGAGTAGCGCTACCCCACCCGTCGCGCTAGTGTGATCACGTCGTACTGCCTGCCCTGCCCTGCCCTGCCCTGCCCTGCGCCGCCCGCAGCAGCGCGCACTGCTTTGCTAGCACGCCGCCTGCTGCAGCGCGCTCTGCTGAGTCGTGCGCCACCTGCTGCAGCGCCCCCTGCCCTGCCCGCGCGTCGCGCCGCCGCGCACGCCCTGCCTGAGCGCCGAGCCGCCGCGCGCCCTGCCCTGCCCTCGCGCTGCCCGCGCCGCGCGCCCTGCCCTGCCCGCGCGCCGCGCCGCCGCGCGCCCTGCCCTGCCCGCGCGCCACGCCGCCGCGCGCCCTGCCCTGCCCGCGCGCCGCGTTGCCGCGCGCCCTGCCCTGCCCGCTTACCGCGCCGCAGCGCGCTCTGCCCTGCCCGCGCGCCGCGCCGCCGCGTGCTCTGCCCTGCCCGCACGCCGCGCCGCCGCGCGCCCTGCCCTGCCCGCGCGCCGCGCCGCCGCGCGCCCTGCCCTGCCCGCGCGCCGCGCCGCCGCGCGCCCTGCCCTGCCCGCGCGCCGCGCCACCGTGCGCCCTGCCCTGCCCGCGCGCCGCGCCACTGCGCGCCCTGCCCTGCCCGCGCCCTGTGCCGCACGCCCTGCCCTGCCGCGCGCCCTGCCCTGCCGTGCGCACCCTGCCCTACCGTGCTAGCGCGCTCCCTGCTGCACTGCTGCTAGCGTGCTGCTCTGCTGCTAGCGCGCCCGACTGCTCTGCCTGCTATGGCCACTCTCAACGTTCTCACCTTCGATTCGGAGGGCCGCCCGATAGAGTTCAATGCATGGCTAGACGATTTACAGCTGTTCCTGCTGACGGACTCTAAGGACGGTACTTCGCTGTTTGACCTCACTTCTGGCGCCTCGCCCGCCCCTGACGCCACAGCTGACAGTGCGACCCGCTCACAGTGGCTTACCCGTGACGATGCTGCTCGCCTAGCCGTTCGCAACCACCTGCCGTTAGCCGAACGCGCCCACTTTGGCCAGCATAAGACAGCTAAAGCACTGTACGACGCTGTAGTCGCTCGTTACTCCTCCCCGGCCACTGCTGCTCTAGGCCGCCTTCTCCTGCCCTACTTGTTCCCAGAGCTGTCCACCTTTGCCACAGTAGCCGACCTAGTCACTCACCTCCGCACTAGTGACACTCGCTACCGTGCTGCCCTCCCCGCCGAGTTTCTCACCAAGACCCCCCCCCCCATGTACATCACGTTCTACTTCATAGTCACCCGCCTCCTAGACTCTCTCACTGCAGTCAGGGACCTCCTCCTAGCACTTGACCCCACCGACCTCACTGTCGACCTGCTCGAAAAGCACCTCCTAGCAGCTGAGACTAGCATAGTCGTTGTAGGCGCTTCTCGTGGCACTCCTCGCACCCCCTTCTTTGAGGGGTGTTCGCCCTCCCCCCTTCTCCCCTCAGTCGCCTCTGCTGCAGCTGTTGACTACCTTCGTGCTGAGGAGGTAGGAGCTGCGTCTGCCCCTAGTGGGAGGCGCCGCAGCGGCAGGGGAGGCAGGGGAGGCAGGGGCGGTGGGGGCGGCAGAGGTGGAGGCGGTGGTGGGGGCGGTGGAGGCGGTGGAGGGGGCGGCGGTGGCGGAGGGAGTGGTGGTGGGGGTGGAGGTGCAGGTGGCGGCGGCGGTGGCGGCAGTGGCGGTAGTGGGGACGGCAGTGGTGGCGGCAGTGGTGGCGGCAGTGGGAGTGGAGGCGGTGGCAATGGTGGCGGCCGGGGTGGTACCAGTCAGAGGGGAGGCCTTGGAGGTGGCCAGAGGCAGCAGCAGCGTCAGCCCCTTTCGTCTCAGGAGCTCCGTGAGTGGTTTGCTTAGCGTGGGGCGGCTGGGGGTAGTGGTTCCTGCCCGTATGTCATTCGCACAGGTGACCGCACTGGTCAGACATGCGGGAGGCCTCACACTCAGCGTCGCTGCTTCTACCGCCTTACCGACGCCTTTCGCGCAGAGTTTCCTGATGCACCTGAGCTCCCCGACTGGGCGGAGCTGCTTAGGCAGAATGTTGATATCTTTGCTCTAGACTTTTATGCTATCCTATCTGCCATGTATGCATTGACTGTTAGTGCTGAGGGTGACTGTTACCTGTGTATGCCGCCGGACCCAGGTATAGAGGCTGCTGCTCTAGGTGCTAGTGAGTCTGCTGCCCTAGGTGCTGGTGAGTCTGCTCCCTCTGGTAATGCGTCTGCTGCGGCTCTGCACACGTTCACGCTTGACTCAGGTGCTTCCCGCTGTTTCTTTCGCGACAGTACCACAGTCACACCGCTCTCTGCACCTGTTGCTGTTTCTTTGGCTGACCCCTCTGGGGGCCTTCTCTACGAACTTGGTGAGCACTGCTGTCCTCCAGGATGCGGGGGTTGACACCTTCATCCCTGAACGACAGCGTGTGGCGATCTGTACGTGCTCCCAGACCGGCCGCCACCTGGCCACGTTCACCCGTCGGCCTGGGTCGAGTCTGTACACACTGACTACTGCGCCTCCTCAGGTAGCTGCGTCTGCGTCTGCGTCGGGTCAGCTTGCGGCACCCTGCTCGTGTCGCGCCCTGTCGCACCAGACGCTCCTTTGGCACCACCGCCTTGGTCACCCCTCTGTGGCACGCCTCCAGGGCATGCACTCCCGTCTTCTTGTCTCTGGTCTTCCCAGGTCTCTGCCTCCCCTCCCACCCTCGCCTGCCCCTCCCTGCCTTCCCTGTGTCGAGGGGCGGCAGCGCGCCGCTCCTCACTCCTCCTCGTTCCCCCCGACAGAGGCTCCCCTGCAGACTCTCCACCTGGACGTGTGGGGCCCAGCCCGCGTCCGTGGACAGGGCCACGAGCGGTACTTTCTGCTGGTTGTCGACGACTACACGCGTTACACCACGGTCTTCCCCTTGCGCCGCAAGTGGGAGGTCCCTGATGTTCTGATCCCTTGGATCCACGCTGTTCGTCTCCAGCTCCGCGAGCAGTTCGAGACGGACCTTCCCGTCCTGCGTCTGCACTCTGACAGAGGTGGTGAGTTTTCCTCTGATCTCTTGAGGTCCTTTTGTCGTGCGGAGGGCATTCGTCAGACGTTCACGCTTCCGGCCTCTCCGCAGAAGAATGGGGTTGCTGAGCGCCGCATTGGATTAGTCATGGAGGTTGCTTGTACCTCCATGATCCATGCGGCTGCCCCCCATTTTTTGTGGCCGTTTGCAGTCCAGTACGTTGCGCATCAGCTCAACCTCTAGCCCCGTGTCTCCTTGCCGGAGACCTCGCCCACACTGCGTTGGACGGGGGAGGTTGGCGATGCGTCGGTGTTCCGAGTCTGGGGATGTCGAGCCTTTGTCCGCGATACGTCCGCGGACAAGCTCTCCTCCCGCGCTGTTCCCTGTGTCTTCCTTGGCTTTGTCCCTGACGCGCCTGGCTGGCAGTTTTACCACCCCACCTCGCGCCGGGTCCTGCCCTCTCAGGACGTCACGTTTGACGAGTCGGTTCCCTTTTACCGTCTCTTCCCCTACCGCACTGCCCCTCTCCCTCCCCCGCCGCTGTTCCTCGCACCAGGTCCTCCTCCGGTAGACCCCCTCCCCCCTCAGGGTCCTGCCCCCTCAGGTGTGTCCCAGGTAGACCCAGTCGAGCCTGTCGAGGTAGCTGTCAACTCTGGTGCTGCTAGGGGTGCTGAGCCTGCGGGTGCGGGACCTGGGGGTGCTGAGCCTGAGCGTGCGGAGCCTGGGGGTGCTGAGCCTGGGGTTGCTGAGTCTGAGGGTGCAGAGCCTGGGGGTGCTGAGCCTGAGCGTGCGGAGCATGGAGGTGCTGAGTCTGGGGGTGCTGCGTCTGGGGGTGCTGAGTCTGGGGGTGCTGAGCCTGGGGGTGCTGAGCCTGAGCGTGCTGAGCCTGGAGGTACTTTGTCCTCTGGAGGTCCTACGGGTGTCTTGTCACGGCGGGAGCCACTCTCTCCACCGCAGCTGCGCGAGTGGTTTGCTCGGCGCTGGAGCCGTGCTGCTGGAGCTGGGGGGCCTACAACTGGAGGTGCTGCTGGAGCTGGAGCTGCTGGAGGTGCTGCTGGTGCTGGAGCTGCTGGAGGTGCTGGAGCCGCTGGTCCCGGAGGTGCTCGTACTGGAGGTACTGGAGCTGCTGGAGCTGGAGGTGCTGCTACAGCTGGAGCTGCTGGAGGTGCTGCTGGTGCTGGAGCTGCTGGAGGTGCTGGAGCCGCTGGTCCCGGAGGTGCTCGTACTGGAGGTACTGGAGCTGCTGGAGCTGGAGGTGCTGCTACAGCTGGAGCTGCTGGAGGTGCTGCTGGTGCTGGAGCTGCTGGAGGTGCTGGAGCCGCTGGTCCCGGAGGTGCTCGTACTGGAGGTACTGGAGCTGCTGGAGCTGGTGGTGCTGCAGGAGTTGTAGCTGGAGGCACTGGAGCTGTTGCTACTGGAGGTGCCTCTGGAGCTGGTGCTGCTGGAGGTGCTGGAGCTGGTGGTGCTGCAGGAGTTGGAGCTGGAGACCCAGGAGCTGGGGGTACTGGTGCTGTCTCTGCTGGTTCTGGAGGCGATGCGTGGCCGCGGCCGTACTTCGTTCCACTCCTTCAGCAGGTTCTTGGTCTCCCGACTTCTACTGGTCCTACTCCTCCCTTACTGTGTCCACCGCCTGACCAGTCACAGTCGCAGTTACAGCCAGCCTCCCCACTGCCTGGTCCTTCTCCTTACACTGGGCCGACCGGAGGTCTTGCGGAGCGTCGTGAGCCTAAGTCTCGTCCTGCGTCGCCTGTTCGCGCTGTTCGCACTGGTCGTCGTGTTCCGCGTCAACGTCCTCCTCCTGTCCCCGGCACGCACCAGATGGCACTTCGTCCTTCCTCTGTTCCACTGCGTGTCCCTCTGCCGTCTCCTCCTGCGTCCACTCTTCCTGACGTCCCTGACCCGAAGTCTGACTCCCTTCGTGCTGCTAGTCCTACTGTCACGCGTCTCCTGGCCACTGTTGTCACTGACCCTTCTTTTGAGTCTACTGATGCGTCTGCGCTTGTTGCTGAGCTGGTTGACTTTGCTGCCGCCTGTCGTTTAGACTACGCCGCTAGCCTTGTTGCTGAGTCTCAGTATGTCTGTCCTCCGTCCGTCGGGGGTGAGTGTGCTCTTGGCACGGACGTCCTTGAGGACAGGCAGGATGACTTTGAGTGTTTTGCAGCCGCTGTACCTCATCTCGTGTCCATGCTGGTTGCACCTGAGGGAGACCCGGATGCACCAGACATCCCGACCCCGCGCTCTTACGCAGAGGCGTAAGAGGGTCCCTACTCCTCTCAGTGGCAGTCAGCTATGGACGCAGAGATGGCATCCTGGAAGTCCACAGGCACTTACGTCGACGAGGTTCCCCCACCTGGGGCGAACATCGTCAGTGGCATGTGGATTTTCAGGGTGAAGCGGCCGCCGGGTTCTCCGCCTGTCTTCAAGGCGTGTTACGTTGCACGAGGCTTCAGTCAGCGACAGGGAGTTGACTTCTTCCAGACCTTCTCCCCTACCCCGAAGATTACCACTCTTCGGGTACTGCTGCACGTCGCCGCTCAGCGTGACTACGAGCTTCACTCTCTTGACTTCAGCACAGCCTTCCTACAGGGCAGCCTGCACGAGGAGATCTGGCTGCGCCGCCCACCTGGCTTCACTGGGTCGTTTCCTGCAGGTACCCAGTGGAGCCTCCGGCGGCCAGTCTACGGTCTCCGCCAGGCGCCTCGCGAGTGGCACGACACACTGTGGACGACTCTTGCGGCTCTTGGGTTTGCTCCTTCTACTGCTGACCCGTCGCTGTTTCTACGCACCGACACTTCGCTGCCGCCGTTCTACATCCTCGTGTACGTCGACGACTTGGTCTTTGCCACTGCTGACACTGCTTGACTGGCCCACATGAAGTCGGAGCTGCAGAGGAGACACACGTGCACAGACCTGGGTGAGCTGCGCATCTATCTTGGCTTGCAGATCACCCGGGACAGAGCACGGCGCACCATTACCTTGACTCAGTCACACGTGGTGCAGCTCTTCCGCTTCGAGTACTCCTCGCCACAGTCCACTCCTCTGCCTACCGGTCACTCGCTCTCAGCTCTGCCTTCGGATGAGTCCGTAGAGCCGAGTGGCCCGTATCCAGAGCTTGTGGGCTGCCTCATGTACCTGATGACCTGCACTCGACCTGACCTTGCTTACCCTCTTAGCATCCTGGCACGCTACGTTGCGCCCGGGAGACACCGACCAGTGCACTGGAAGGCCGCTAAGAGGGTGATGCGCTACTTGTGCAGTACGTCGGGCATGGGGCTCGTGCTTGGAGGACGGGCTCGTGTTGTCCTCACTGGTCACGCAGACGCTTCTTGGGTTGACGACTTGGCTACGCAGCGGTCGTCACAGGGTTACACCTTCAGCCTTGGCTCCGGTTCTGTTTCGTGGCGGTCTACCCGCTCGTCTTCTGTTCTCAGCTCCAGTTGTGAGGCTGAGTTCTACGCAGGGGCCATGGCTGCACAGGAGTTACGCTGGCTCACCTACCTGCTGACCGACTTGGGAGAGCCGCCTCGTTTTCCTCCAGTTATGTACGTCGACAACAAGGCCATGATTGCCTTGTGTCAGGAGCACAGACTGGAGCACAGAACGAAGCACATCGCTCTGCGCTACTTCCTTGCTCGAGAGCTGCAGCAGCGGGGTCCGCTTCGTCTTGTTTACGTGGCCTCTCAGGCCAACACTGCTAATATCTTCACCAAGGCACTTCAGCCTTGTGATTATCAGCGTTTCTGTACTGTTCTAGGTCTTGTGCCTACTTGGCCTCACTTGCTCACTTCTTGACTTTGCTTGTACTGTGATCTATATACTTATACCTGCATGCTTACACTTGCTAGGTTGTGATCACTGTCCTGCTTGTTCTGCTTTATATATAACTCTGCATGTGAACTGGCCTTGTGGCCATTTGCTTGTGCTCAGAATGCGTGGTGACTTCGTGATCCACCCTGAGCTTGCTTTGCCTTTCTTGACTGGTCTTGTGACCTCTTGTTCTCCCCCACTTTGCCTATGGGGGTGTGTCAAACATATTTGCTGCTTATTGTGTAGGCTGTAGTGGGGTAGCCCATATGGGGTACAACCCAATTAGGGTTTCCTACTTGTACCCATCCTGCTGCTAGTTCATTTATTCCTGTTCGTTATTCTGACACGTGCTTCACATCGCAGATCCTCACCGTCCGTTCGAGCTCGTCACCAACGCAAGTGACTTCGTTGTGGGAGCAGTACTGTTGCAGGACTTCGGGAACGGCCTTCAGCCAATCGCGTACGAGTCCCGCAAGCTTCACCCGCCCGAGCGCAACTACCCGATACACGACCGCGAGATGTTGGCGATCGTGCACGCGTTCAAAGTGTGGCGGTGCTATCTGACAGGAGCCGACGTGACAGTACGGACAGACCATGGTGCACTACAGTACCTTCGCGCCCAACCGAATCTCAACCCGCAACAGATCCGCTTGTTGGACTATCTGGAGTCCAACTTTCACTACACCGTCACGTACAAAAAGGGAGCGTCGAACATCGCTGACGCACTCACCCGCCCCACTGCCCAACTTCACGCCATCCTACTCACCCAAACCAACCCACTGTTAACAGGCCTATTCACCCACGGATACAGTACCGACCCATTTTTCACGACGGGAAATTCACAGCAACTGGCAGAAGCAAAGGGAGTCTATTACGTAAAGACAGGCACCAACCGCATTCGGGTACCCGCGTACTCACTACTGAGGGAACTGCTACTGCAGGAGGCACATGACAGGGTCACCTCGGGTCACTTCGGGGTAGAAAAAACACGACAGCAACTGCAGCGGTATTACTACTGGCCGGAGCTGTTGACCGACTTACAGCACCACGTGGGGTCGTGTCCTACGTGTCAGGTGATGAAGAGCTCGCGAAAAATAATGGCGAGACAATTGCAGCCGATTCCATCGCCCGAGCGCGCCTGGCAGCAGGTTACCATGGATTTCGTCACAGGGTTACCTTCGAACCCTGGGGGTAACGACGCGGTTATGGTCGTCGTTGACAGACTGACGAAAATGGCTCACTTCGCTGCGTGCAGGAAATCGATCTCAGCCGAAGAAATCGCTCGCCTGTTATCGCGTCCGTCGTTCGACTGCACGGGATACCGGCCGCAATAATCAGCGACCGCGACACGAAGTTTACCAGCAATTTCTGGAAGAACCTTTGGGAGCAGTTCGGGACCAGGCTACAGTTCAGCTCGTACCATCCCGAGACCGACGGTCAAACGGAGCAGACGCACCATGTCGAAGAGAAAAGGCCCCGCCCTCGCTTGGTCGAGGTAGACCATGTTTCCGGGAGCACAACGGTGTGCAGACGGCTTCGTTTCGTGGTCATCGGCGAATTTGGGGACTTTTATCTGTGTGCGACGAGTCGTCTGTCGACGAGATTAATTGTCGAGGTAGAAGTGTTTCTTCTGCTCGACGAAAGTGCCCGTCGACGAGGTGCTTCTCGACGGGAGTAAATCGGCGTCGAAGACGAGCCTCGCTGGTCGACGGAATTGGCAGAATTGGCGTTTCGACGGATCGGTGGTCGACAGAATGTGCTCGACGAGTGCATCGTCGAGCAGAGCGTTTCAGGTCGACCAAAAGGACTTGTCTCCGAAATTCGCAATGTACGCGAATTTCGACCAATCGCGAAACAGCAAATTTCGACCAATGGTAATCTCGGAAATTGTACTCCCCAGGAGAATTCGAATCTGCTAAGGAAGAGAACCTGAAACACGTTTTTGCTAACTACAAAAACGTATACAACTGTGAATGTTGTAAAACCTGAGCAAGTGCCAACTCAGGTGAAAGATGCATGTGCTTGTCGTTTCACCTGCCGTTGCTGACTCTGTTATAATAAGCAGGCAGGAATGATGGACTAGGTAGCATGCATGAGTACAAGTACCTAACCCTAAAGTGTTATACCCTTTGTAGGCTAACTCACTATAGCCTAGAGACAACACAAACATACAGTTTGACACACCCCCATAGGCTAAGTGGGAGATAGCAAACACAACAGACGGTCACAAGACCAATCAAGCAAGAGCACAAGCAAAAGCAAAGCAAAGCTCAGGGTGGATCTCAAGGACACCACACAATCTGAGCACAAGCAAGCGGCCACAAGGCCAGTTCACATGCAGAGTTATAATAGCAAGGCAGTACACTGATCACAACCTAGCAAGAGTAAACAAGCAGGTATAAAGATATATATCAGTGTACAACAAGAGCAAGTCAAGCAACCAGCAGGTGAGGCAGAGTGGGCACAAGCCCAAGAGCAGTGCAGAAACGGTGATGATCACCAGACCCAAGGGCCTTGGTGAAAACATCAGCTGTGTTGGCCCGAGAGGCCACGAAAGCAAGGCGCAGCTGAGCACGCTGCTGCAGCTCACGCGCAAGGAAGTAGCGAAGAGCAATGTGCTTCGTTCGGTGCTCCAGTCTCTGCTCGCGACACAAGGCAAGCATTGCCTTGTTGTCGACGTACAGAACTGGAGGAGAACGAGGCCGCTCCCCCAAGTCGGTCAGCAGGTAGGTCAGCCAGCATAGCTCCTGTGCAGCCATGGCCCCAGCGTAGATCTCGGCCTCACAGCTGGAACCAAGCACAGAAGAAGAACGAGTGGACCTCCACGAGACAGAACCAGAGCCAAGACTGAAGGTGTAACCCTGTGACGAACGCTGAGTCGTCTAGTCGTCGGCCCAAGAAGCGTCAGAGTGTCCTGTGAGGACCACCGAACCCCGTCCTCCAAGCACGAGCCCCATGCTCGATGTGCTGCACAAGTAACGCAGTACCCTCTTCGCAGCATCAAAGTGCACCTTTCGGTGTCTACCAGGTGCCACGTAGCGAGCCAGGAGGCTGAGAGGGTACGCGAGGTCAGATCGTGTGCGCGTCATCAGGTACATGAGGCAACCCACAAGCTCTGGGTCCACTCGGCTCTACGGACTCGTCCGAAGGTGGAGCTGAGAGCGAGTGGCCGGTAGACAGAGGAGTGGGCTGTGGTGAGGACCACGTGAAGCGGAAGCGCTGAAGGACCTGCTGCACCATGTGTGACTGAGTCAGGGTGATGGTGCGCCGTGCTCTGTCCCGGGTGATCTGCAAGCCAAGATAGCTCCGCAGCTCACCCAGGTCAGTGCAGGTGTGTCTCTCCTGCAGCTCCGCCTTCACTAGGGCCAGTGCCTCAGTGTCAGCAGTAGCAAAAACCAAGTCGTCGACGTACACGAGGATGTAGAACGGCGGCAGAGTAGTGTCGGTGCGTAGAAACAGCGACGGGTCAGCAGTCGAAGGAGCAAACCCAAGAGCCGCAAGTGTCGTCCTCAGTGTGTCGTGCCACTCGCGGGGCGCCTGACGCAGGCCGTACACTGGTCGCCGTAGGCTCCACTGGGTACCCTCAGGAAACGACCCAGTGAAACGCTGTGGACGGCGCAACCAGATGGCCTCGTGAAGGCTACCCTGCAAGAAAGCTGTCGAGAAGTCAAGGGAGTGCAGCTCGTAGTCACGCTGAGCTGCAACGTGTAGCAACACCCGAAGAGTGGTCATCTTCGGGGTGGGGGAGAAGGTCTAAAAGAAGTCAACCCCCTCACGCTGACTGAAGCCTCGAGCAACGTAACGTGCCTTGAAGGCAGGCGGAGATCCCGGCGGCCGCTTCACCCTGAAAATCCACATGCCACTGACGATGTTCGCCCCAGGTGGGGCAACCTCGTCGACGTAGGTGCCTGTGGACTTCCAGGAAGCCATCTCTGCGTCCATGGCTGTCTGCCACTGAGAGGAGTACTCACCCGAAATCGCCTCCCTGTAGGAGCGCGGGGTGGGGATGTCTAGTGCATCCGGGTCTCCCTCAAGGGCAAGCAGCATGGTCGCCT